TATATAAAAAGAGAAAATACAGTAAATTATTTAACTTGACTATCTAAATCAACTGTATTATTCATATATAGGAAACAGATATATTTAATCATCTTTTGTAATTACATCATGTAATTACCACATACAAACCTCCTCATGCAGGGCGGCAGCTCAAAGCTGATAGATAAATGTAGTCGTTTGCTGATTTTCTTTCTTTACACATCATTGAATTTCAACTCCATTTCATCTTTTTATGTCTTGTCAGCCCGAAAGAAATTCTTCCTTTATGTAATTAGCAATTAATTATAAGAATTATCTACGTGACCCATATGTCTCCAGATAAAAACTCTGGAAGGCTGGTTAGTATTGGAGACTGCACAGGGAACAAGCTGAAGCTGGAAATGAATAGCTTTACTTTACAACTCAAATGGAAACAAATACCATCTGGTGCCACTAAACTCACTTTTGCTTTTTAAATGCTGCAGTGAAACAGCCAGTTGAACTAGCACAGTTCTCAAAGCTGGATGCACATTAAATCACCTGGGACAAAGAGCAAAGGCCTAAGTCTGTAACCTACTCCAAGCCAATCAGAGTCCTTGGCACTGGCGCCGGAATTTTTATTTAAGTTCCTGGGATGATTCAATGTGTACTCAGTAGAAAACCATGCTGGGCTATTTTTTAGACTCCATTGTAATCTTGAAAGTTGCAGCAACCTCAAGGAACCAGCAGGTGGCCACAACCACACTGAAAAATCCATTTTCAGTTTTAGGGTTTCTATATTGAACAAGTCATTTGAGAAGTTGGACTCTGAAGAACATGGGATCAGGATCGGAGGAAGACTCATCAAGAACCTGCATTATGCAGATGCCACAACCTTCTTGATGAACATGAGGAGACTTAAAGTGCTTGCTGCAGAATACAGCCTTCAATATGAATTGCATCTCAACATCAAGGAAACAAAAATCCTCACCATTAGGCTGATAAAAAACATCATGATGGATGGAGGAAAGACTGAAATTGATAACAACTGGAACCACTGTCAACAACCTTGGTACCAGCAGTCAAGATCATGATCAAGATCAAGACAAGAGATGTACTGCACTGGGCAAGTTGGCTATCAGGGACCTCTCCAAAATTAATGAGAAGCAGAAACGTCACTTTGAAGACTAAAGTACACCAGACTCAGGCCATGATCTGTTTAATCACTTGCTATGCATCTTAGAACTGGACAATGAATAAGGATGACAGAAGAACTGATGCCTTTGAGATATGGTGCTGGAAAAGAGTGTTGAAAACGCATAGTCTGCCAAAAGATCAAACAAGTATTTCTTTGGAAAAGTGCAGCCACAATGCTCCTTGGAGGCAAAGATAACAGAGTTCTGTCTCACATACTCTGGGCATGTTGAGAGTAAAGGCTATTCCTTGGAGAGAAGCACCATGGTTAAAAAGGTGGAGTCAACAAAAGAGATAAAGATCCTCAATCAGATAGATTGACACAGTGACTGCTGCAATGGGCTCAAAGGTATTAGAGATGATGAGGATGATACAGGATAGGACAGGATGCAGATCTACTGCTCATCAGGTCACTATAAGTTGCACTCAACTTGACATCACCTAATAACAACAAGCTCTGGAGATGTACTGCTTGGAGATCTACATTGCAAATTCAAAGACCATGCCTCTCTGGTGGTTTAGGATTCCATCATTTATTTAAAGCAGGGACCTGTACACTGTGGTTGGCCCTCTTACCTATTAGTGTTAATACAGTTGTATTGGAATACTAGCAAACTCTTTCAAATTGCTTATGTGATGACTTAAAAATATAATGGCAGAACTAAGTAATTTTAATCCAGAGACTGGAAGCTCCACAAAGCAAAAATATTTACTCTCTGGCTTGTTACAGAAATAGTGTGCCGACTATTCAACAATCCAGACAAACGAGCACGTATAGTAAAGTATAACCTCACCTTCCCTTACAGCTGGTCTGAATAAAGTAGTTCTAGAAGGGCTGTCACAGAAGAAACCTTAGTGTTGTAGTGGGCTCTGTGAGTACACCAAATAAAAGGTTAGCAGTTCAAATCTCTCCAGTCACCTCTGCATGGGAGAAACATGAAACATCTGACTCCCATAGGGATCAATAACCTCAGAAACTTGACGGAGGGCTGTCATTGGTCAGAATCACCTCGACAGCAGTGGGTCTGGTTTTGGTTGGGTGAGCTGACACGGAATGAACAGGTCAGAATTCAGAGTACAGAATAAAGGGCTGTTATTTTAGTCACTTTTTTCTTTTCCATGTGGCTGCTTTAAATGCACATGTGTACACTTCATGGAGGAAAACCAAACCAAATCAAACCACCAGGAACTGGTCAATTCAAGACTAGCTCCAGGAGGAGGGGGGATTAATCACAAAGTTGTATAATTTGACAGGTGGAGGGTGAGGGAAATTGGAAGAATCTGTTCTCAAAAACCATGTACTCAAATTAACTATTTATTAATATATATAATTAATTAGTAAATAAACTAGTATTGAAAAAATAGAAGAAAGGCTTTAAGAGTTAAAGGAAGTTGTTTTTTAGTTAATAAGGCTGTAATGTGCTTCTGTGGAAGGAAATGATGTGTAGTGTTATTTACACTGAGAACAATGATGTCAGGAGTATTTAATGATGATGCATACTGACCTCAAGAAGAAGTAGGGAGCCAAAGTCATCACTGCTGCTTCCTCAGCCATAATGGCCTGACAGGTTTAGTCAAGATGATTAGGAAAATGGCAAGGACATGTTTTCCGATGAACACCCTCATAGAAGTGTTCAAATGTAGGTCTCCAGGAAGAGCAAAGGATGAGGGAAAAGTCATCCTCTTCTATTTATTTCTTTTCTGATTAAAGGCTTGGTTGCAATCAAACAATACAGAATCCTGTGCCCCTCTGTCCTAATATTTTGGTACTTAAAGTTAGGATAATATAAACTGACATGCTATCACTTTTGATCCCAAGGATAATAAAAAAAATTATGAACCACACTATGTCCACAGTTTTAAAAGTTAGATAAAATTGATGAAATCTTTGGCAGACATAACCTTACCAAATTTCACACAAACAGAAATAGATAATCTAATAGGTCTTTAATTATTAAAGAAGATGCATCAATTATTGATAGCCTTCTAAACAAAAACATGAGATTCAGATGGTTTCACTAGTCAACTCTACCAAACATAAATTTTAAAAGATGATACCAATTATCTACATTCTCTTTCAGAAAAAGAGTGTTACTTCTAAACTCTGTCTCCCAAAAATACATGTCACTTTAG